CGGGGAGCTGATAGGGGGGCTGCCGGTCCACCCTGGTTCCAAGCCTCCATCAGCTAGCTGCAACGGGCTACTCTTCCTGCAAGCAGTAGATAAAGCAGGCGGCTGCCAAACGACGTAGAAGGGAGCATTACACAACTTTAAACGAGCATGTTCCCTAATTGATCAGCAACAAAACAACGTTAACCAGGACGACTTTATGTGAGGAGTTACTGTACAAATGGGCTCGAGTTTCTGTACTGCGGCCAAACATAAAATAGGGATAATAATTCTTACTCACCTTTGTAAAGTACTTAAGATCTACAAATGAAAAAATACTAGATAACTGGAAAGCATTATCATTAGCCACATTTTTCAGATGGTGTAACTGGAAGCAGAGAAAGAACTGACAGGAAGGGGATTGCAATGCATGACAGTTTGTTTGCAAGAGTCAGGCTAACTGTAACCCTAATAATGCGAGATTTGTAGAAGCGAGGATTGTGTGAGGCGAGTGGGAAAGAACTGTGTGAGAAGTTGTTGTGACCTTGTGTAGATAATGTGTAGAAAATATTGTATGTAGACTAGAGTCAAAACAAATGAGAAAAATAAGATATCAAGATGGCCTATGTATAAACAAAATGCAGCTGTTGCTTATTATTGTCTGTAATGAAATGTATAAAGGCTTGCTGTAATTGTTTACCTGGAGAGAGACCTGTTTAGCTCTCTCCCTCTACGCAATTGCTTGAGAGAATAAAGTATTTGACTTGCTGTACCCAAACAAAAAGTGAGAACTCTGTTATTCTCCGACATAACCAAGGGACAGAAGTACATTGATTTGCCTAGGAGGCTTTAGCTGTGCAAAAAAAAAAAAACTATGTGGGTTCTAGTTTTCGATCTGACAATTTGCTGATTAAACAACATTTGAAATTAAGTTAGACTATGCTGCACATGCATGTTTTGGTAATTTAGCTACCTAAAGAGTATATCTTGTGAGGTGTGTATCAAATGACACAGGCTTTGAAGGAACCATTTTCAGCTCTCTTAGTTTAATCTGGTGATCCATCCTAGCCCACTTCTTTATATTTCCTATTGTGTAGATAAAGGAAAACACTAAAACCAAAAGTAAATGTTTAAAACAAAACAGACACTATGAAATTCCAAAACCTTTACAAAGACCAAAACAAAAACAAAAAAACAGCAACTTTGTTTCAAACAACAATTAGGGCTGTTAAATAACAATGTAGTTTCTTATCACATTATTTAGAAAAACCAAACAGTGGAAATGAAAAATTAAGGACCTCAAATCTTACACTGCACATAATAAGAAAGTGTTTATTTGTTAAGTATAAAGAAATGCATTTACTCACAACAACCTTCACTCTGATCTAAAAATACTATGCTTTCACCAGTAAACACACAAAACCCTTTAAAAAAAAAAAGAATTTTATATTTGAGATTAATGACACATGTTGACCTGCTTCTAATGCAAGTTCACATATATACATTATTTTACTAATCACTAACGGTTATCATCTTAATATTAAAATGACAGTCAAATTTATTCCCGCAACACAATTATAAGTACTTTACAAAAAAAATTCAAATGTCAGTTGATAAATATTAGCTAATAATAGTTCCCATTTCAGACTATCCCTTGAAAGAAAACTACTGAAATCAAGATAGCAAAAAATCTTTAAAAAAAACAGCAAACCATGGATTGGAGTTAGGGTTGTGCTGTGATTAAATTTCTTTATATGGATGAGAATGCGTTCATCTAGGCAGTATTTTTTTTTTTAATTCTTAACTATTAATTTCTTTGCTTTATAAGCTTAGATTTTGTGATTGACAGTGTACTTTACTCTTAGCAACTGTCACTGTTTTTAAAATTACATAAACTTATTTTCTATTAAATTTCTAGCCTAAGGGTAGCTTGTTAAGTTATTTAGGTCGATATAAAGAGTAACCAGCCCCCCTGTAATAATATTACCTACCTATCGTATGAACCAAGATGCATGTTTTCATGTTCTTGGTTGAGTGAGAATCAAATGTAATCAAAGAATGACTAAGCAAACAAGCAAAAAGTTTACACGAATTTGGTTACTTTGGTTTGTTTTTTATTTTTAATATTATCAACTCTCTATATACTGATAAACAGAACATGTTCAGAATTTACAGAAAGTCACAAGACTGTATTTGGGCAAAATCTTTTATTTCAGAGAACTAAAGTGATCAGGAAATAATCAATGGACTGTAAATATTTCTTCTATATTGCCTTTTATCAAGGACATCTTCATAGCATAGATCAGGGGTAGGCAACCTATGGCACGCATGCCAAAGGCAGCACACGAGCTGATTTTCAGTGGCACTCACACTGCCCGGGTCCTGGCCACCGGTCCGGGGGTGCTCTGCATTTTAATTTAATTTTAAATGAAGCTTCTTAAACATTTTTAAAACCTTATTTACTTTACATACAACAATAGTTTCGTCATATATTATAGACTTATAGAAAGAGGCCTTCTAAAAACGTTAAAATGTTTTACTGGCACGCGAAACCTTAAATTAGAGTGAATAAATGAAGACTCAGCACACCACTTCTGAAAGGTTGCTGACCCCTGGCATAGATTGATTCCATACAACTGATATGACACAACAAGAAATTAACCCTGCAAGGGCTGTTTTGGATTTTATTATTTTAAGTGACTAGGAAGAAAAACATTGGGCTTGTTCTCCAGAGTGGATTGATTTAAATCAAAGTTATTTAAATCACCATTTTAAATCATGATTTAAGTCACAAGCAGGAAACCTCCATTTAAATATGTTGATTTTGTTCTGTAATTGTATTTTTAGTTATTTTCCTAAAGAAAGTTGATTCACGTTGGTTGATATAACCATTAAAACACGTTCATATGCAACTAAATATAACCTTTACTTTAAATTTGGTACTTTTTTGCTAACCAAAACGATACACTAAAACTATAAACATTTACTTAAGCATCTACACAGCTGAATACACATTTATTCAGATTCTTAGTTTTTACATTTTTATGATTTTAGAAAATAGTGGATGACATTTATGTACAAGATTATTAATTTTTTACTCATGGTTTGTGTCAAGCTAGATTTGGAAAGGAAATTGGAATGCAATTAAAAATGCACAAAACAGCATTTTAAAATTAGTTCTTTATTAGTTAAATAAAAGTACCTTAAACTGCTGGGTACATGTATAAAATAAGTTTATCAAAACATATTTTGTACTTAAAGCTAACTGATTTATTAAACAATTAAATATTATCTATAGTGAATTGAACTAATTGCTTCAAGATTTTAGAACTAGTAGATCTCATCCTCTCAGACCTCTTCATTATTCATAGCTTGAAAGAGGAAAACAAGTTTTTCTACCTTTTCAATTCCCAACTGGTGTCTCAACTTTGAATAAGCTAGCTACTGAACTAAACTAGTTCAATGAACTGAAATGAAGAAAATATTCTCTCTGTACCTGCAGAACAGGCTACTGCTGTCAAAACTGGTCTTAGCACTTCAGCAAGTTCTGGTTCCAGGTGCTTAGCCACCACTTCAGTGGTTTGACTTTCTTTAAAACTTTGGCAACAAACCTGTACTGACTGAATATTTTTATTTTATTTAAATTTAAATTATTTTAATAGATTATAGTAAGTTAGGCCTTAATGTAAGTTATCAAATTCATATTTAATTTTAAATTTATTTTTTTAAATAAGTTATTTAATTTTAAAAAGCCTTCAAGTTTTATTTACCCTGTTGTTCTGTCAATCTCCACCTAAACCACGTTCACATAATACTCACAGTTTAATTTAGTGAAAGAATAAAGTATTCCATCAAAATGTCGCTAAAGTGATTTGAATAACTGATTTATATTTCACTTCAATTAGATATAATCTTGTTACATTTCCTGGAACATCCTGAAAGGTTTTACCCATCCTATTGTGTCCTTTTCTACTAATAGTTTGGACTACAGCGAAGACATCCTGAATTCTGATTTTATAAAGCAGCCATTTCCTTTTATCCTAATAGAATTTAAGATATTTGCTTAAATGTATGTAAGAGACATTTTAATCATAACAGTATCAGCTGCAACATTTACAATTAAAACAGAAAATGGGATGGAGACTATCCCCTTGCTTAAGTTTTGCCTCAGTATACATTACTCAATAGATTTTATTTGGAAAAGAAGTTTTTCTTGATTATTATATAGTATAGCTACAATCAGGAATGACTTAAAAATCAATTGCTTTGATTAACTTATATGAAACTAAGGTAGTTTTTTTAAACCACAAAAATAAAACTGAGAAACAAACAAAAGCAGTTTTTTTCCCATTCTCTGAAAATGTTCGCACACTCAAACGGAGACAATTCCCTTTTTGGGAGGAGTTGGGGGAAAGAAAGAGAAAAAGATTTCAAAGCAGTTTTTAAAACTAACTCCTTCTTGTGATGAGAGACTATGATGTGTCCACTGAGGTCCCCCTTCCCAGTCTTCTTGTGGGATCCTTGTGCCATCTTTCATCTTCATGCTTAGACTATAAATTGTATGGGGCAATGGAGGTCTTTTTTTTACTTGTGCATTCAGTGCCTAACAAGATGGGTCCCTGATTTGGGGCCTTTACATGCCACCATAACAGAAATAAATAAATCAGAGATGCTTAGCAAGTGTGTCCTCAGAGCCTGGGAGCAGAAGTCCCTTGGCTTTTAAGAGCCATGCCCTGACCAGAGCAACTGGATTTCAGCCATCGACTCATTCATTGAATGGCAGGAAGTGACAGACCCAGAGCTGCTGTGGCACCTTTCAATCCCCTTTTATTGGTGCCTGCTCTCAGGATACAATATTCAGCACCCAGTAGGACAAAGTCCTGCAGTGGGGAGCAATAATCCAGTGGGGAGGGGAAAGAGCATTTAGCAAGCCCACTGACAGCTCCTCACACCCCACACAGAATCCTTTAGTTTAAAGCCCCCAAGGTCTGCACCCTGTCTGTTGCCACCCCACCCCGACTCACCCAGCAGCGCTTTGAGGTGCTTGAGGCGGGTCAGGACGTCCTTCTTTGGGTCCAGAGCTTTCTGTGTAGATTTCTTGACATCGGCATGGCTCCTTCTGGAGAACATCCCGCAGGGGGAGACACTCCCTGACGGCTGAGATGGGGGATCAGAGACTCCCTGATGCTTGGGGGGCAAAGGGGGGAGCACCCCCTGCCGCGGGGGGATGGGCGGGAAGAGCGCCCCTGTTAAGTGGGGGAGGGGAGCTGGAGATCTGCTGGGGGAAGGGCGCAGCACCCCCCTGCTGAGGGGGGCAGGAGAGACCCCTGTTCGGTGGGGGAGGGGCTGGAGAGCTCTTCTGCGGGGATGGGGGCAGCACCCCCCCGCTGCTGTATGTCTGAGGCGGGGGGATGGGGAGAGGTTCCCTGCTGGGGGGCCCGAGGGACCCCCCCGTTCGGAGAGGCCGGAGAGCTGGTACTACGCTGGGGGAAGGCTCCCTGCTGCGCCTCGCGCTGCGCTGCGCTCTCACTCCCCAGGGTGGGCGTGTAAACACGGAACTGACCGGACGCCGCGACGGTTAACTGCCTCTAGTCCGGCGCCGCACTGCGCAGCCGCCCCCGGCCGGGCCGGCCTCCCCGCGGCGCCGGAGAGCGCGAGCCCCGCGTCCCCCACGTCCCGCGCGCGGCGCCCCAGCGCGAGCGTCGAGCAGACAGCAGCCGCCTCCCGCAACTGGGGACCCGCCGAGCGCCCCTCCGCGAGACACTACAGCCCCCAGCGTGCAGCGCGGCCGGACGCGCGGCGCCGCGTGGAGCGTTGCATGCTGGGAGCTGTAGGCGCTGTAGAGCCACTTTGCAGACGCTCCCCCCCGCCCGACAGCGTTTCTGTGCGCTGTGACCTGCAGAGCTCCCCCACCCCCCATTGACACCGGCTCTGCGCTGTGACCTGCAGGGCTCCC